ACAAGATCCATTTTCCACACCACTCCGACTCCAACTACGAAAATAAAATATTATTAATTTCGGTATAAGAATTTCTTTCTCACACTGTGGCCCCATGACATAAAATAACGGCTAAATCGGTTAAAAGGTGTTACTAGGGTTTCTAATCAAAGGTACCCTTTTGGGTAATGTTTCAAATTTCAAGATTTTGTGAGGGTGTAAAATTGTGCCCCAATTCAGCATTAGCAGTAGTTTTGGACATCGGCTATAGAAGACATACGTTTTGAGAATGTTTCTAAGGTGATTTGAAAGCCTCTCGGATTGTCGTAGAAAGTTCGTTTTATATATTCGATATATTCAATCTTATTAAAAGTGTTGACCTTTGAGGAGGAGGTACTAAAAGGTGTGAGCCGTTATATCCCATTTTCACACCCTATCTTGTAATGGTTAAAATATTGGGATGTGTGAAATTTAAAGAGAATCTGATGCATGTTTCACATATTATGAGCGTTTTAGATATTCCGAATGTTGACCCTTTGTGGGGAGGTATTCAAAGGACTGGTCCGATATATCCCATTTACACATCAGATCTTGCTTTGGTAGAAATATTTGGATGTGCGATGTTTGAAAACAATCGAATGCTTATTTCGCATTTGGTTATTCCAAATGTTGACCCTTTGTGGGGTCGGCTATGCTCCATCTTTGCACCAGATTTTGTAATTGTAAAAATATTGGCATGTGCGAAATTTGAAGAGAATCTGCAGTATATTTCGCATTTTAGATATTCCAAATTTGGACCCTTTGTGGGGGAGGTACTAGAAGAAGTAGTCAGATCTTGTTCATTCTCGCACCCAAACTTGCTGTAACGCAAATATCACGATTTGCTAAAAATACGGTGAATTATTTTCTATGAAAATTTTGTCCTTTTGCGGAGGGGGGGGGGGGGGGGGGGGGGACTCGATCTAAGTTTGACAAAAATATTACGATGTACTAAGATTGGACCAAATCAGCCACCCAGAAAGAGAGACGGACATTGCTAGATCGACTCCAAATGTCCCGAAACGGAATTGGACCAAAGAGAGCTAGGGTCTAAAACCGTTATTTCGACTAGACACGCTTTGGGCGTATTAAAGGATATATACCATCTCTAGCCATATGGCTGAGGGTATAAAAAATAATAAATAGAATATTACTACTCAGAGATTGAGTCGACTTATTTTTCTCGACTCAGACTTCATCCAAATTTTTCGACAAATCAGCATGATTTTCTTGACCTATAGTCGCTACAAGTTGTAAAATAAAAGTCTGAGTAGTGAATAAAAGATTGTGGTTTTGGGTCAAAAGATTATGGTGTTCAATCACAGTTATTTAAATTTATCCTAACACATTTTTACATAACTGAAAAATATTAGAACGCGAATATTCAAATTTTAAGATACAAATGCTGAAATCCATTTGTCTATGGTTCGGAACCAAAAGGATTTCCGTGATGTTGTGCCAATGTGAAAAATTTTGAAAAGTAATACTTCGGCCTATTGTTGGCTAGCACTTCAAAACTAGTAAAAATTGATAACAAATCGAATTCTAGAGAGATTCTCAAAAAAACTTTTTGAAATTTTTTTACACCAGCGAAGTCGACTAGAAATCCGTAAAAAATATACTTTTATATTGCCAATTCATTCCAACTACGATCATCATTAAATACGCATTACAGACTAATATATAAAGCTATATCTTTATCTGAATCGATTTCCATGAAATTTGACGAATGCATTTTTTTCTGATGCAGGTGACCTCTCGTAACAATTATGAGTGCTATAGAGTGAATATTATAACATTCAGATGGATTAAATATAAAATCGTTTGAGACATATAAACGTTTGTTGAAAGAGTTTATTCTAGTCGGAACTTGATCGTATGAAACAAAATTAAACCCAATTGGTCGAACGTAGTGCGTGTGTGTCTCGGAGCTATACCTAAATCTGTACTGTCTTCGACAACATTTTACAAAGGCATTTCTATGCTGCATATGATATTTTGTGTCAAATATCATTGTTATAGAAAACATATTTCAACTTTGAGGAGCTTTTAAATCAAGTCGGATTATACACATATATCAGAGCTATAGCAATATTTGAACCTATTTTTACCAAATTTGGTAGACTTGCTTCTAGGCTGAATTCAGTCGTATGAGCAAAATCCATCCTACTTGGGCTAATATAATACATTCACTGCACAATACATGTGGAGTCGGATGAAGATATAGATAACGTTCGCCTAGTCCAAGAAATACGATTTTACACAGATCAGCGAAAGGATTTATCTATTTTGTATCATTTTGCCAGTTACAAAGAAATTAACAAAGCCTGTAGCACAATGTGGCTAATTGTATACGAAGTATATGCTGTGCCAGTGTAGATAATTTTCAGCAGGAATATTTGAGAACTTCTGAGGTCTCAAACTTCTACTTCCAGAGGAATATTCAAATATTAAACATTTTTGCCCTGTGATTTTCTACTCATTTGAGGTTTTGTCCAGGACCTTAAAACATATAATATTTTTAGTTTATGCTGTTGGAATTTCATGCTGAGAAATTCAAAATGCCGAAAACAATAGATGCAGTTATACAGAGGCTCACAAAATCATGGACCTATATTCAACATTTTTTACAAGGACTCAGATTAAGAATCCAAAATGTCTAATTACATTTGGAGCGAATAGAAAATTGGACTGGAAAAACGTTGTGGTGTTTCAAATGGAAATGCAAAAAATATTAACAACTTTTAAAGTTTAAAAGGCGCCGTACCATATGAATGGGTGGATACTTTAAAATGTGGAGCCAGTTGGAATGGTTTTAAATGTCCCTTAGATCTCAATACACAATTCGATATGTAATTCTTTCTTCACGAGGAACCCTTATTTTAAAGTTTCAACAAGTAACTTTGATCTGAACTTTTATTTCGCCCCTCCATTTGGAAAGTAGCATTTTTAAAATATATTTCTAAAAATGAATTGGTCCTACATTTGTGCGGTATGTTATTTTTAAAAACAAATTTTGAAAAATTCTCTTAAAAAATGTAGCTAGGATCATCGAAATACCAAATATCAAGAGGTCAATATGAAAACGTGGACTTACTTGTATAGACAATTTTCTAGCAGAGAGCCATTGCAAACTTCAAATCCCAAGTTTGAAACACTTTTATAGAAAAATTTTCTTCAATCATTAAACTAATGAATCTTTGGAGGATCATTTTATATAACTTTTATCAACAAAATTCTGGATATCGGTAAGTACCATTTTATGAGGTCTATACCACATTTAAGTAACATTTAATCGCCACATACGACACGGGCCGACATTGAATAGAATTTTATGCTTGTCCACAATATATACTTTGTGGAGTCTTAAATATTTGTTTCGAGGATTTAAAAATGCAATGACAAATTTAAGATACCCTCAATAGAATGCGTAAAGAAATCCTCTGGTCTGAAAAGACCACCTTTTCATTAAACAAACTGGAGAAAATTACAAATTTTGAGTGAACATTTTAAAACCCTAAATGTTAGCACCTATAGGTACTCAAAAAAAAAAAAAAAAATAAAATTAGTTTTATATTCAAGAACCTGAATTGCGAAAAAGGGCGTATTGATTCCAAAATATTTTTTTCAAATTTTAATATTTATTGAAACTACTTTAAAAAGTGGGCATACTTTAAAAATTAGACATTCTATTGGAACTATGTATACACATAGGAATAATAAGGGTCTACGACTTCATATGTATTACAACCACATTGGTACTTTGTTTTCAAAATTACGGAAAATACATGATATCAAAACACTGATAAATTTGGGAAATTTTTAAATTTTAATTCATGAAGAATCACATTTTTAACGATAGTGCTCTGGGAACTATAACACACAGTGGAAAACTTAATGAAAGAAGTTCTTAGATCTATATGACTCATTCACATAATATTCTGGGACCCCAGATGCTAGATTCTTTTTCCATAAACACATGATATGAAAATATTTTCTTTAGAACATATCTCATTTAACAATTCTTTCCTTCACATCTTTTTTCAATCACATTTGTACAAAACCCAAATAAAGCCACATATTTCTACTAGAGTGGCATTTCAAGTAGCTTCTTTACAATTTTCATCAACTTTAATGTGAAAACAATAATTTCATCTGTCATTAACAAAATAATCTCTTCATTTTCAATGTTGTATTTATTATTTTAAATATCAATATATATATTAAAACTGTATCACTCAAGACCAGTAGACATTTTGTTTGTTTGTTTTCTATTTCTCCGAAAAATTTACCTAAAATTATAAACTACTTACACACAAAGAATATGTATAATGTATCAAAATTCACACAGAGTTCATAAAAAAAAGAATATTTTTCTAATACAATTGAAAATAATAAAAAAAAATTAAACACATAAACATGTAAACTTTGTTTTTTAAAATAATGCCACAGCTTCCATTGAACAGAGAAAAAAAAACTTAAATTGAAAATTCAATTTATGCAAAAAAAGAAATATGTATATAAACATCACAATAAATATAATACAATAATATTAATTCTAGTTTATATATAATAGCATACGAGTATGGTAATTTCAAGAATATTGCGGAATAAAAATTACAAAAAAAAAAAGAGTTAAGAATAGAAAATACAAAAAAACGTATATATAATATCGAAAATAGAATAAACTATTTTTTGTTGTTGTTGTTTTATATATATAAATATGTTTTCAATATTTTTCATCATATATATATTTATATAAAAAAACACATTACATATCACACCATATTGAGAATAAAAATGTTTGTTTGTTTTGTTTGTCTGTCTCATTGCTAATACTAAATATATGTAGGTATGTATGTATGTATGCATGTTGGTTTGTCTGTCTGTCTGTATGTAGTATAGGCCTACAGAAGTCGTTTACAGAAGAAATATATGTAAGTAACATTTCTTTTTCTCAGTATGACTGACTGACTGACTGACTGCCCGACTGGCTCTATGAAATTCTACGCGCGTTCGTACACACACACACTGAAAAAATCCTAAACCTAATACTATATCATGTGGTGTTCAACTAACTTCTAACTTCTGCTATTTTCTTAATGTTTTTTGCTTGATTTTTATCCGGGATTATATAGTTGGTTGATCTGCTCGCCAGCTCGCTCGATCGCATGCATGCACTACGTTACGTCTACGTTTAACGTATCATGTGTAACTTCCAACGCAGCACAAAATAGGCTATAATTCTCAAAGCAATAAATATGCCAATCAACGCCACAGCATCAATCCAATACTCTGCTTTGTCCATGGACATCTCCTCCAAGAATTTCTTCGGACTACGGAAGTGACAGTACATGGCATCACACTGCAGTTTGGCCCGATCCATGCCATAAATCGATACCATGGCTCCTAAAAAGAGGGGTTTTAATTAAATTTCCTCGAAAATAATATCTAGTAGATACTTACCCTCAAATCCATAGCGCACATAACTGACATAGGTCACCCACTGCAAATAGCCCGGTATTGTATCAAAGTTCACAAAGAAACCCGAAAACAATATGGTCGGTATAGTGGTAACAGGCCCCAGAAAAACACCAGCTTCTATATTCATGCCAGCACCAATGAGCAAACCCAACGATTGGGCCACCAGCGATGTCAGCACACATATTACCACAAACATTGTCACCCGCTGCGGTTCCATGGGCTGGGATGTTAGATAATACACTACGATGACATAAACGCTAGAGAAGATAATCTGCAAGATAAAGGAATGAAAAAAAAGAGAATTAATTAAGGCAAGTAAAAAAACAGTTAAGTTCGGCCGGGCCGAAATTTTTATACTCTACACCATTCTGAGGGAATTTGAAAATTTTCAAAAAAAAAAAAAAAAAAAAAAAAAAATACGCCGAAAAATACCGCTCAAATGAAAACCTTTATATGGAAGCTATACAAAGACGTAGTTCTACATTATTTTTATACCTTACATCATAAGGTGGTCAGGGTATTATGTCTTTGTGCATTTGTTTGTAACAGGCAAAAGGAAACGAGATAGACCCATATTTCCTTTTGATGATCTGCATAGAATCACTTTCTGAGTTGATTTATGCATGTCAGTCCGTCCGTCCGTTTGTGAACAAAATACAGGTCGCATTTATTATCCGATTGAGATGAAATTTTGCAAACAACATTTGTTTGGCCCAAGGACGAACCCTATTGAAATTGGAGATAATCGGTAAAAAATTAGATATAGCTCCCATATATATCTTCGTCCGATTTGCCTTTTATTGTGCACCAAACGTGTAATATCAGCCCGAATAGTATGGAATTTTGCACATACAACCAAATTAGGCCTGAAAATAAGTATGCCAAATTTTATCGAAATCGGTTCAGATATAGCTATAGTTCCCATATATATTGTTCATCCGATTTGTTATTTTTGTCCTCCGCAGCCGTAATATGCACTCTGTAACAACAATATTTGGGGAAATATATCAAATGCAGCTCAGAAATAATTTTGCTAAATTTTATCGAGATCGGTTCAGATTTGGATATAGCTCCCATATATAACTTCGTCCGATTTACCATTTATTGTGCACCAAACGTCTAATATTTGTCCAAATGGAATGGAATTTGGCACATACGACCGAATTTAGTCTAGAAGGTAGTATGCCAAATTTGGTGAAGATCGGTTCAGATATAGTTATAGCTCCCATATATATTGTTCATCCGATTTATTGTATTTGTTACCCACAGCCGTAATATGCACTCCGTAACAACGATATTCAGGGAAATATATCAAATACAACTCAGAAATATCTTTGCCAAATTTTATCAAGATCGGTTCAGATTTGGATATAGTTCCCATATATATTTTTATCCGATTTCAAATTAATTTCGCATCAAATGGGCAATACAATTCCGAATTTAAAAGATACAAATGCTTCGGCATATTTAGTCCTTTGAACTTTAAATTAGAATTATAATCATAGCGTGTATGATTGAATTCTCCCATAAAAACTTTTAATTATTAAGTGGAGCTCAACTAAATTAGCAAAGTGGTGTAGGGTATTATAAAATCGGCCCCGCCTGACTTTAGGACTTTCTTTACTGGTTTTTTTTTGTCATTGGTTCCGAACTTGAAATACGAAATTTGAAACAGTTCTGGTAAATAATGTCGCTAATATCATCAAAATACAGAATAAAAGGAGCTACGATTTTATGGCGGCTATAGAAGGTTCAGACAATTTTCTGTCTTAGGCTGTAGTATCCATTACGAACTTCATATACGAATTTTCAAACAATTCCGGTGAATAATGTCGCTAAAATCATCAAAATACCGAATATCGGGAGGAACCGTTATATGAGGCCTATATACTATGGTGAAGGGTATAAAAATAATACATATCTGAATAAAGGCTATTGGAGGTGTAAAGTTTTGGAAGTTTCAAGAATATTTGTAAAGGACTATAGGACGGACTTTTTAACGACGGATATATTAGGAATACTTGTTAAAATAACAAAATGTTTCAAAATTTTTGGATTTTTTTACAGATTGTCACAATTTTTGGATTTTTGAGAAGATTTTTCAAGGACAATTGATTTTTTAATTAGTTTCTAAAATGTGAAGATTTTAAGAATAATGGTTTGAGCACTTTGGGAGCTTCCATACTTCGAGGATTTCTTTAGGAATATTATTTCAATAACTATTTTAGCTTTAAAGAGTGAAGCTTTAGAAATATTTTGAAATGTGGATTTTTTATAAGAAAACCTAGGACGTGGATTTTAGGACCATGCTTAAGAACTACAAACATTTATATTTTAAAAAATATTATTTCAAAAATCAGCAGACCTACAAATTCAATTTTTTAAAATCCTTTTTAACCTATAAACTTGGATTTTTATTTTTAGGAATAATTTCCACAGACTAGACTGGACCTGGACTTAAAAAGGTCTATCTGAAGTATGAATTGTGGATTTTTCAAAATATTTTTTAAGGACTATCTTTTATATGACGCGTGGATTTTAAAAATATTTTTCTAGTCTGAGTTGGAATTTTTTAAAAGTATTTTATTTTAAAGAAAATTTGAATGTAGACAGGACTATCTAAAAAGTGAGTATTTTAACTTATTTTTAATGGCTACTGTAGGTCTGGAAGTGGACTTTTTAAGTCAATTTTTCAAGGACTGTACGAGCTATAAATTGTAGTTTTTTTTTTTTCTTGAATATATCTTTGTGTACTTTCAGAACCCTGAAACATGGATTTTGAAATTTATTTTTTAACGACTATCAGAGAAGGATTTCTAATGAATAACATTTTTAGAACTGTCCGAAATGTGGGCTCTTTTTCTGGGACAACGTGGATTTTTAAAAATATTTTGAAGGACTGTCTGAAATCTGAAGCGTTGCTGCAAACGTGGATTTTCTTAAAAAAGTTTAATTACTATTAGAGTCTGAAAAGTGGAACTTATAAGAATATTTTTCAATGGCTATCCGAGCTATGAAATGCAGATTTTCCACAACCCTGAACGTGATTTTTTAACAAGTTTTAGAACTCTGAAACATAGATTTTTTTCAAATATTTTTTAAGCATTATCTGAAATCAGCATTTTTGAAAATATTTATATACATGGATTTTTAAGACTATCAGAACTCTAAAACGTGAACTTTTTAACACATTTTGAAACGTCAACTTTGAGAAATATTTTTTAAGAACTATCAGAGCTCTGTAATTTTATTATTTATAGACATTTGAGGTAAATCGTGGATTTTAAAAAAGATTTTTCTAGAAGTATCAGAGTTCTGAAATGTTATTTTTTAAGATTTTTTAGGGATTATCAGAGTTAAAACTTGGACTTTTTAAAATATTTTTTTCAGAAACAACATAGCCTCAAAAAGAATAATTCTAGGTCTATCCGACTATTGAATAGTGAATTTTTAAGACTATTTTTAGAATATTTTCTAGGAATATTTTTGGGGACTAACTGAGTACTAAAACTCGGGCTTTGAAGAATATTTTTCAAGGACAATCAGAGCAATGATGCGTGTATTTCTTAAGAATAGTTGTGAAAGATTTAAGAGCTCGAAAACATTTTAATAATTTTTCAAAGCCTATAAAAGTTTTGAAACCCACGTTTTTTTTTTATCATTTTTCAAGGACTTTCACAGCTTGGGATTGATATTGAAAATATTTTTTGAGGGCCAGAAATATTAAAATAAGTGATTATTTTAAGTACAGTCGTCAAAGACTATATGAGCTATGAAGTGTGGTTTTTCAGAATATTATTAAGGAGCTGAGCTCTGATTTTTTTTAATATTTTCAAGGAAGAATTTAAGAATGGATTTCTTCAGACAAAAGATTATCTGAGTTTTAAAGAATATTCAAGAGGCTATAAAATCTCTGAAACTGAGATTTTTATGTTGCTCTGAGCTCTGAATTTTAATTTTTCAATGGTATTTTGTTATTGTGGTGGTCAGGCTTAATCCCATTATTGTTGTTTTTTAAATAAAAAAAGGGTTTGTTTAAGAATGGATTTCTTCAGAAAAAATATTATCTGAGTTTTAAAAAATATTCAAGAGGCTATAAAATATCTGAAACTGGGATTTTTACGTTGCTCAGAGCTCTGAATTTTAATTTTTCAATGGTATTTTGTTTTTGCAAAGTGTTTAGGCATAATTCCATTATTGTTGTTCTTAAAAAAACAACGTTTGTTTATTAGTGGAGAACGATTGTAATTTTTATCAGGGTTAAGGCAGGGGATACCTAGGTTTCAGAAAGAGGCACCAGTCTTTATCAGTTCCCTTGTTTTTTGTCTGGGGCATATTTACATGTTCTTTATCATACATTTCTTATGATTTCTTATGAAAGTCTATATTTTCCAAAACTCCTAGTGAATATTTGAGGCCAAAACTATTTTTTTTTAATCATTTGTTTAGAACTACGTACGTTATAATTCTGGAATTTTTAAGAGCATATCTGAGCTACAGAACATATATCAGAATTTTTAAGATTTTTTTTTGTGAAGACATATGTGAGTCTTTATTCGGAATTTTTTATAAAATGTGTTTCTGGAGACCTATGTGAGTTACAACCCTAAACATTTTTAAAACTAATCGGAGGTATAATCCAAAAATTTAAAGATTAGTTTTGAAGGCATATTGGAGCTTCAGTCTTAATTTTTTTACAGACATTGAAGTCCTAACTGAGTTAAAAACTTTTAATATTAAGGCTTTTTAGTAACCTATCTGAGCTGCAGTACTGAAATTTTTGGAGTATAATTGAGCCTCAATCTCAGGGGTATTGAAATAATGTGGAATGTATAACGAAATCCCTATTTTCGGATTTTTAAGGGCTATCTACGACACAATCCTTAAGGCCTATCTTAAGGCCTACAGGAATTTTAAGAGGATATTTCTAATCAAACATCTACAATTCTGAATTTTTGTCGATCAAATTTTTTTTAATTATTTTTAAATTTTTATTTCATTTATTTTTGAGATATGTATTTTTTGGATTTTAAAAAAATATTTTAAATGGTATCATAACTCAAGTTGATCCGAGTATTCTGAAACTATTTTAAGGTCATTTTCATAATTTCTTTTCTTACCTGAAATGGTAGATCAGCCATTGTTTTAGCAAAATAAAAAGCCTTAAGTGAATACCAATAATTTAAATGCTCTCGTACAAACACCGACATTTCTGTGGGGACTGCAAGAAAAACATGTAAAATTAATACAATTTCCAATTCAAATAACACACCCTCCTCTCTCTTCCCTCTTCACTTACATGTCAATATTGTGGGCATCATTGCTGTAAACATGGTAAATAGTGTGGTAAAAAATATACAACCAGCATTACTCATCACCTTGGAGGCCTCGTTGCCGACATCGTAATAGATCATGCCAATAATGGCACCAACAATAATGTGCGACGCCAGCCGCATATGGGTCAGCATGCGATCGCGCATAATTGTGACAAAGGAACGTTTGAGCAATATCCAAAATTGGGCCCAACCACTGGTGGGAAAGCCGGATTTGTTCGGCATAGCAATAACACTTTCGTGTGAGTCCAGCAGTGAGGTGGTACAGCCGGCACCGGAGTTACCATTGCCGCCACCACCACCACTACCGCCTCCCCCAGCACCATTGCCATTCGAGCCAGTCACATTGGTGGTGGCATTGGTACTCTGGCCACCCTTGGAACTGTAGCTACAACTATCTTCACCCGTGTGATCGCCACTATTGCGTGTTGGCATATTGTTGACCGAACAATCGGATTGCTGACTCTCTTGGGTTTCTAGTTTCGGTGGTTTCAGGATGCTCGATGAGTTCAGTTCCAATTCGGCCGCTGATGATGGTTCATCCAGTTTGGATTTTTCATCGGCCAACACTACAGTGGTGGTATTTGCAACAACGCCCGAATTGCCGACATTGGCCGCCGAGCCATTGCCCTTGGCAATGTCATTGGTAATGTCCTTGCTTATATCGAGGCCATAGTTCTTTTGGCTATACTTCTTGCAGACACCACTCTTGACCGCTGCCACCAGTTTCGGTACACACTCACCATATTCACCGCTGGCCACCTCGAGCACATAATCGGCCGGATTGTGATACGATGGACAATCATAGCCCAGAGAGGATAAAAATGGCACCAAAGCCCTCACCCGTCCCTCGTACATACACTGACCCTCGGCCAGCATATACAAATGATCGAATTTCTCAAACAGCCTGGCGGACGGTTGATGTATTGTACAAACAATGGTACGGCCACCGCGTGCCAGCGACTTCAACAGCGATATCAATTGGAAGCACGTCGAACTGTCCAGACCCGATGTGGGTTCGTCGAAAAACATAACGGGTGGATTATTCACCAACTCCAAGGCAATCGAGAGTCGTTTTCGTTGTCCTCCGGAGAGATTACAAGTCTTGGTATTGCTTGATTCGATTAGACCGATGGTTTCGAGAATTTCATCGACTACGACTTTTTTGGCAGCCAAATTCATGTTTTTGCCCAACTTCAGATTGGCCGAGACCATCATGGCCTCGCGCACCGACAAATTGGCAATGAGAACATCATCCTGCATAATGTAGCAGGAGAGCTTGCGGAAACGTCGCAGGTTACGCTCCTTGCCGTTGATAAGCACCGAGCCGCTCAGCTGGGATGTTCTGGAAAGAGAAAAAGAAAGACAGAGAGAAGTTGTGATTAGAATAGAGCAAAATAGGAGAGAGGTGTTGATACAGGAAAATATTGAGAGCTGTGATCTATAAAATTTAGACAACTTTCTGAAAAATTCCGAAAGGTAAATTTTTACGAATGTTTTTTAAGGACTTGAGCTCTGAGATGTGGATTTTTAAGAATATTTTTAGGGACTATCAGAGCTCTGAAACTTCCATTTAAAGAATTTTTAAGGACTATAAGGCCCCTGAAACGTGGAGTGTTAAATATTTTTTGAAGCAATATCAGATCTCGGAATCGTGGATATTTAAAGAATATTTTTTCAAGGACTATTAGAGCTCTGAAATGTCGATTTTTTAAAGAATATTTTTTCAAGGACTATCACATCTCGGAAACATGGATTTTTAAAGAATATTTTTTCAAGGACTATCAGACTTCGGAATCGTGGATTTTTAAAGAATATTTTTTCAAGGACTATCAGACATCGGAAACGTGGATTTTTAAAGAATATTTTTTTAAAAGACTATCATCTCGGAAACGTGGATTTTTTAAAGAACATTTTTTCAAGGACTATCAGACATCGGAATCGTGGATTTTTAAAGAATATTTTTTCATGGACTATCAGACAACGGAATCGTGGATTTTTAAAGAATATTTTTTCAAGGACTATCAGACATCGGAAACGTGGATTTTTAAAGAATATATTTTTAAAAGACTATCATCTCGGAAACGTGGATTTTTTAAAGAACATTTTTTCAAGGACTATCAGACATCGGAAACGAGGATTTTTAAAGAATATTTTTTCAAGGACTATCAGACATCGGAAATCGAATTTTTAAAGAATATTTTTTTAAGGACTATCAGACATCGGAAATCGAATTTTTAAAGAATATTTTTTTAAGGACTATCAGTCATCGGAAACGTGGATTTTTTAAAAAATATTTTTCAAGGATTATTAGAGCTCTGAAAATTGATTTTTAAAAATATTTTTCAAGGAATATCATAGCTTCGAAATTTAGTTTTTTAACCATATTTTCTAAGAACAATTAGAGCTCTGAAACGTGAATTTTGAGACTATTTTTCCAAGGACTTCTGAGCTCTATTGCGTAGATTTTTAAGAAAATCTAAATAATATTTTCTAAATAATATTTTTTCAAGGACTATCAGATTTTGGAAACGTGGATTTTTAAAGAATATTTTTTCATCGGAAACGTGGATTTTTTAAAGAATATTTTTTCATCGGAAACGTGGATTTTTTAAAGAATATTTTTTCATCGGAAACGTGGATTTTTTATAGAATATTTTTTCATCGGAAACGTGGATTTTTTAAAGAATATTTTTTCATCGGAAACGTGGATTTTTTAAAGAATATTTTTTCATCGGAAACGTGGATTTTTTAAAGAATATTTTTTCATCGGAAACGTGGATTTTTTAAAGAATATTTTTTCAAGGACAAAGCGCTGAATTCTGTTTTTCAATTTTTTTTCAAGGACCACCAGACCTCTCGAACGTGGATTTGTAGACAATTTTTTAAGGAAGAATTTAAAAAATAGGATCTCTGAAGCGTGAATATTTAGGGCTATTTTCCCAAAGACTATCGGGATTATCTAACTTCGTACAAACTTTGGAAACCTTAATATTATTTTTAGTGCACACATCCCATTATTTCTAGTACCACAGTACATTCCTTCGGAACCTACTCCATAGAGTGTCAACAATTCGAATAATCTTCACAGAAGTCAAAATATATTTGGCTGAGGGTATACATTTATTCGCAAAATCGTTTGATACTCTTTAACTTGTTCCAATGACATCTTGAGCTCAGGTTTTTTTATAAAAAAGTGACTCTCTTAAGTGCTTTAATCGACCTTCTTTAGCCATGTTTTGTTTTCCTTCCTAATTCAGTGAACTCTTATTCAAAATGTCTTCCTTGACATAAATTTAAAGCATCCGGAGAAAAAAAAAACACAAAACGGAATTTCTTTCCCTCTCCCATTAAATAACATATGTTTCGGATATTCATCCAACATCGCTGTCAGTTATATACGAAATTTATCCCCTCCAAAAAAAAAAAGAGCAAAAGCAGAGCAACGAATCGCAATCGCAAATCCATGCCAAAAGAGCCTTAATGAATAAGGAAATGCCACCAACAACAATCCAACCCAAAGTGGCAACAAAAACAATTTTTGCTGTCATTCGTCCATACATTCTCTCTGGAAAACCCTCGCAGCATTCATATATATACGTATGTATATACATATATACATTTTTTGTTATTATCCTGTTAAGAGGAAAATCTGCCGAAATGCCTTTCGTTCAATACGGGAAGTGACAGGAGAGTGCATGTGAGTGTGTGTGTTTGTACCCGAATGTACGAAATCTATAATTCAGACAAAACGGAAATTTCAAAGATAAAAATGAAAAGCATTTTGGCGTTTGAACCCATACAGACATACATATGTACATGTATACATACATACATGTATGCATATGTTGGAGGAATTATTTATTGAAAATGGGTCGTCCGAAGTCAAATGAAAAATATTGATTTTATATAAGTAACATATGGGAAGGTCTTATGGATTTCATGTTATAGGGATTATTGTAATGGAAATGATCATAATGGAAATTGGAATATATTGAAAAGGGTCCTGGTCAGTTAGCTATATATAAAAGAATAGAGATATAAATGACTGTCTGAACGATGATCAAGGACCTGAAGAAACGCCTGAAGCTAGAATCTTGAAATTTTGGCACAAGGGTCAGTCTTGGTGCGTAGGCGTAAGGCTGGGTTTCTGGAAATTCGTACTAAAAGGGTATGAAAAGTACTAAAACGTACTATAAATTGAATACTTTTTATTAGACAGATGTAATGAGCTAGAAATCGTAAGTTTTGAATGATATGGAGTGCAGGATATATGTTCCAAAGGGGGTTTGAACATTTGAACTTTAAGGTTACAAAAAGTACTAAAATGGTACTAAACATCTAAAATTGTACCATTTGCTTTTATGTAAATGGAGAGAGCTAAAAGCTTGAAATTTGGTATGAGAATCAAGGCTGAAGGTGGTTTTGGAAATGTGTACTAAGTGTGCAAACTGTACGAAAAGGTACTAACTTTGGAACAGGGTAAACAGATAAAGCTGAAATTTTTAAATTTTGTATTGGGGTGGTAGGTTTATGATAAACAGGTGGTTTTTTAAATGTGTACTATAAGTTCACAAAAAGTACTAAATTGTACTATATTTAGTATAATTTGGTTTAGGGTGAAAAAATAGTGCTTGAAATCCAAAATTTAATATTGGGATCGCTGTTCAGGTGTAGTCTGGACATGTGGAGGTGGTATCGAAAATCTGTACCAAAAATATTAAATGGTTCTATATTTGGTTTGGGTGAGGGCATATAAATACAATTCTGAAATTTGATACTTAGTGGTGGTTTGACATTAGTTGTGGTTTGAAAATGTGTCCTATATTTGTACGAAAAGTACTAAATGGTACTAAATTTGGAATTGGGTTAAGGGATAGTGCTGGAATCCTTAAAATAGATATTGAGGTGTCTGCTGTTCTCTGGAATTGAGATATGGAGGTCCTTTTGCAAATGCGTACTATAATTGTATGGAAAGTACTGAATGGTACTATATTTGGTATTGGATGAAGGGATAGAGATACAATTCTGAAATGTGATATTTAAATTACCGATGGTATCTTCGTTTAATTTGATTTGGTGGTGGTTTAGAAATGCGTCCTACGAAAAGTACTAAATTTGGTATTTGGCGAAGTGATAGAGCTGAAAACGTAAAAGTTGGTTTGGTGTCTTTTATTAAGGTATCGAACGGTTTTACAAAGGAGTACTAAAATTATATGAAAAGTAGAAAACGTTACTAAATTTCATATTAAGTAAATGTCAGGAGCTGGAATCCTGAAAATTGATATTGAGGTCTCCGTTTGTATCTAGGATTCAGATATTGCGTACTAAAATTGTTCGAAATGTACTAAATGGTACTAATTTTGGTGCCCGGGATGGAGGGATGTAGATAGTTTTGGAGAGGCGTACTAAATGTTACTTAATTTGATATTGGCTGAAAGGGTGGAGCTGAAATCCTATATTTGATATGTCACTGTTACTGTTTGTATTGAGAGAAGGATGTGTTTTGGAAATGACGAAATGGAAAAAATACGAAAAATGCAAAATGCCACAAATCGTGCTGTTGGGTAAGATATGTTATTCTGAAATTAGGTATCGACGTCACTGTTGGTTTCTTGGGTTTACATATAGACACGTTGAAATACTTTTGGTCAAAAAAATATGATGTGGATCCATTTTGCAATGGTTTTACTAATATCCTCCTCGGTAAATTTCAAAATGTAATATTTTGTAGACATTTTTGGGTTAGAAAGTAAACATTTTCCTATTAATCTATCCAAAAAAAAGAGAGGAAAAACTTGACTAATACAGGGTGAGATAAAAAAACGGCAGCAATGTCAAACGCCATAATTTTTAATATTTTTTTTAAATTTTATTGAATGAAAGCAAAAAATGTCGGAAATATCATCAAATTTTAGAATAAGTATAGATTTGTTCGAATTGGTCACCTTTGGCACGAATTATGCCCCTCAAACGGCCAATGAAACCGTCTTCGGTATTTTGGCCCATCCCCGGCGAAGCGCTTGCTTGAAGTGATCGACACTTTGATATTTTTTAAGTGCCAACCTTGCTTTCCAAAATACTCCAGACACAATACTCCAACGGATTGGTATCCGGAGATTTTGGTGGCCATTGTGCGCTGAAATGAAGCGAGGAACCTCATTTTATAACCATTCTTGGGTAGCGCGTGCTGAGTGCGATGGTGTTGAGTCCTGTTGGAATGTCCAAGACCTGCGTCCAAAATGTTTGCGTGCCCAAGGCTTTAATACACCCTTCAGAATATTTTCGCGATAATATTCGGAATTTATTCTGATGCCACCGTTGATTAATATGAGCGGAGACCGACCATCGGCTGTTATGGCGGCACACATCATCACCATGGCCGGCGCTTGAGTTCTGGTGGCCAACCGAAGGTGCACATTTTCACCTGACCTCTTTGGCAAGTAAACACGATCATTTAGTTTGTTTACAAACTGCTGGACAACGAATGTTTTCTTATCGGAGAAAACCAAATTCGGCAGTTCACCACTTTCGGCCAAGCGAAGCAACTGATTAGCTCTTTTGAGTCAATTTTCTTTCTGTTGCGGTGTAAGTTCTTGCACTTTTTGGAATTTCAATACCTTTACCCGGAGCTCATATTTCAATATTTGCCGAATGGAATATTGCGATATGTTCAGCTCACGAGCCATTTTTCGGTCACTGCGACGAGGGTTTCGATCAAGTCGCTTCTTTACTTTTCGAACCATTTCTGCTGATGTTGCTGTTTCTTCCGTCCACTTCCTTGACGTCGGGCTATGCTACTAGTATCACGGTAACGAGCGATGGCACGAGACACAAAAGATTTATTCACATTTAAATGCTGGAGTGCTCTAACGATAGCAACTTGTGGTTTTCCAGCCAAATATAAAGAAATCTCACTATTAGGCTTGAATTCCATTACGAATAACTTTTTTCTGGAAAATTCTCACCAAAATGCTTTTGTATTCTTCTAAACAGTATAATGAGCTGTCACTTGGTTGTAGTTTTTTCATCTCGCCCTGTATATTTCACGACAAGCTTTGAAATATGACAGATGACTTTGGATTACAGCTTCAATCAAAATACTATATCCAAAAAATCAATGCATTCAAAGGACATTTCTTCCGAAAATTTCAAAAAATATGGAGGAGGAAGATCCCTTTTCCCACACTATTTAGGCTACTTTGTAATGTACATTTTTAAACCGACGATACACGTGTCTCCTTTTTTTAGCACTACTTTTATAATCTGCTGGATTTTCCTTGTGATTATTGAAAAATATTGAGATTTGTTATCATTAAAAAAACTTCTCTAAAATGATATCCTTGAATCCTTGATTAATAAGGCATTTAATATTAAGGGAACTGATAAACTTAAATTTTCCCAAAAAGTTTAAGTAGGAACCACTTAAAATCCCCCTCTCCTCCTGTCACGAACACAAAATAGAAACTTCAAGTCCAAAAAAAGAAAGATTAACAGAAATGTCACATTCAACGACATTGTCTCCAATTATTCGTCCCCCCACTTTTAATTAACATTGTCAGATTATCCATCTAACTAAGTTTGTACGTGTGTGTGTGTTATTCGAATTTCTCTCCTACTATGGAAGGACACTTGTCCTTCTTTTTTTGCTCCCTTTCTTGCCTGCTTTCATTCGCTCTTTCATTCATTCATTATATTTGTAGTTATATATATATATATATATATATATATTGCCACTTACTTATATCCTGCTAAAATATTCATCAGCGTACTTTTGCCAGCACCCGAAGGTCCCATTATTGCCGTCAGCTCACCATTGCGAAATTTGCCCGAAACACCTTTTAATATTGTCTTAAAGCCGCGCCGTCGTCCCTCCGATACAGAATATGAGATTTCTGTGAATTCAATATCGACCGGTGGCCTCTGGGGCAGATGGGTTAGGGAGACGGTGCCCTTTTTCTGGCCATTGGGGCTGCAGCTGTTTTGAATTTTTGGCGCCAATATATGATTGCCGGATATAACGCCATTGCAGAGATTATTTTGTGAGCTGCAAGAAAATAAGGGAAGAGAAGAAAAAAACAAAAATGTTAATAAAGTAGTCATAGCAGCAAATTGTGATGAAACAAGGGGGAGGGGGGGAGCTAATGTATGTATAATATGAAAATAAATACTAAAAGATTATTTGTTTTTTTTTTAATATTGGGTATGATTTTCATGGGGAGAAAGAGAGGAATTGTAAGGATGGATAATGGCATAAAAATAAGTAAAATGTAAATATTTATCCCTTTTATATGAAATGTTATTAAAAATAGGTTTAAGGTTGATTAGGGGGCTGGTAAAGAGTATTTTTTAAATAAAATGCCTTTAAATATGTTTTTTATAAATATGACTTCTATCTATAGAGTTTCGTTCTATAGAATTTCTTATAAATGGTTTTCCATCTGTAGAACCTTATTCGAAGTCGTCTATATAACTTCATGTGACGCTTGGAATATTCTTCCCTGGGTACAATATTTCACGTTTTTACACAGCACAAAGTGTCATGCCTGAAAGTTCTGAGCTGTAGGTAATAAACTATTATTTTTTTTTCTCAAATACTCCAAATTACTTTCGACTTTGATGCTTAGTCTAGTTGTCTCAGAATTTTATGGATTTTTATTAAAAAAAAAATTACATTTGCTGACCTCGACATAATTAACATAGAGTTAGGTTATGATATTAAACAAGTTAAAAAAGCAGTAATTTCGGCCGGGCCGAACTTTGAATACCTTCAACCATTTGGAACGAATTTGGTTTCAGAAAATAAAATCCTTAAAAAAATCTGTTAAAATTTTAAAAATACCGAATATAGCCGTTATATTGGGGTCTATACGACGTGGACCTACATAGGCCATATTCGAATTCGAAACTTGAAATAAACGGCTAAACGGAAATAAATGCAGCTAAAATCATCAAAATATCGTATATAGGGATGTACCGTTATACCGGAGCTGTTCGAAGACCTGGACAAGCGTAGATAATTTCCTGTTACTGGCTGTAACATCCATTACGGACTTCAAATACGACATCTCAAACAATTTCGGGGGTATTGTGCCTAAACTCGTCAAAATACCGAATATAGGAAGGTACTGATATGTGGGGCCTATACGAAGACCTGGACCTGCATAGGCAATTTTCTGTCACAGACTGCAGTTCCCACTACAAACTCTAAATACGTAATTTGAAACAATTCTGGTAAATAATGTCGCTAAAATCATTAAAATACCGAATATCGGGAGTTACCGCTATATGGGGGCTATATGAAAACGTGGACCTACGAACTTAGCCTGCCTACTGGAAAAATAAACATGTGTGCAAAATTTTAGCCTTCTATCCCAATTCGTTCGAAAGGTAGCCTGATTACAACGGACAGACAGACGGGCATCGCTAAATCGCCGTAGAATTCTACGCTGATCAAGAATATTTATTCTTTGTTGGGTCTGATATGAGTATTTCGAAGAGTTACAAACGGAATGACAAAGTTATACCCCCCTCCATAATATGGTGGAGGGTATAAAAATACATTAATAGTTTATGATGAGTTTAAAAGTTATTCCTTCACCATCGGATAAAGGATATATTTGAGTATTCCAATTATTCTCAATTTTTGTAGCTGAGGAAAATTTTTAGTCTATTTTTCTATGGCTCTTTGTCCGTCAGCCTGGGTGGAAGACTTTCTTATAAAAAATCTAACAAAGTTCAACTTTATAACTTTGCCCGCATTTTTCAACAAAATTGGCACCACGGGATTTGTGAAGACCTCTGGTGTATGCAAGAGGTTTGGAATATCCGTACCATCGATTACAAAGTATTTTTAAAGTCGTAGCCACAATTTACTTAAACTATTTTCCAATAGATTTGATTATAACTTATGTCTCTTTAATAGTGGCACTTATAAGAAGCTCGTCTGGGTTAAAATGCTTCCCATCAATTTAAATTCGTTTTTACTTGCAACCAGTAAGAAAAAGCCAAAAGTCGGACGGGGCAGACTATATGATATCCCACACCACTATTCATATTTAGTAGATCTCCCGTAACACAAGAATTTATTTGAAGTACCTCAAACCACCTATTAGAGCAGTTATAGTTTGTTTTCAGAGGGAACTAATATATGGGAGGCCATCCATATATTAGGGGGCAATCCAATTCTGAATCGATTTTTATTAAATTTGACGGAGACATTTTAATCTTTTATACCAACTAACATTGCTATAGAGTGCATGATATCACTTCGAGAAGGAATTATATTAACAACCAGTAAAGAAAGTCTTAAAGTCAGGCGGGGCCGACTTTATGATACCTTACACCAATTTGCTAATTTAGTAGAGCTGCGCATAACAATTAAAAGTTTTTTATGGGAGAATTCAATCATACACGCTATGATTATAATTTAAAGTTCAAAGAACTAAATATGCCGAAGCATTTGTATCTTTTAAATTCGGACTTGTATTGCACATTTGGTGCACAAATAATTTGAAATCGGATATAAAAATATATATGGGAGCTACATCCAAATCGGAACCGATCTCGATAAAATTTGGAAAAGATATTTCTGAGCTGTATTTGATATATTTCCCTGAATATCGTTGTTACGGAGTGCATGTTACGGCTGTGGGTAACAAATATGACAAATCGGATGAACAGTATATATGGGAGCTATAGCTATATCTGAACCGATCTTCACCAAATTTGACATACTAGCTTCTAGACTCAATTCGGTCGTAAGTGCCAAATTTCATCCAATTTGGGCAAATATTAGACGTTTGGTGTACAATCAAAGGTAAATCGGACGATATTATATATGGGAGCTATATCCAAATCTGAACCGATCTCGATAAAATTTAGCAAATGTATTTCTGAGCTGTATTTGATATATTTCCCCAAATATTGTCGCTACAGAGTGCATATTACGGCTGCGGAGAACAAAAATAACAAATCGGATGAACAATATATATGGGAGCTATAGCTATATCTGAACCGATTTCGATCAAATTTGGCATACTTATTTTGGCATACAAAATTCCATACTATTCGGACTGATATTACACGTTTGGTGCACAATAAAAAGCAAATCGGACGAAGATATATATGGGAGCTATATCTAAATTTTGACCGATTATCTCCAATTTCAATAGGGTTTCTCCTTGGGCCAAATAATTGATTTGTGCAAAATTTCATCTGGATAGGGCAATAAATGCGAACTGCACTTTGTTTACAAAAATACATGGACAGAAGGACGGACGGACAGACATGCATAAATCGACTCAGAATGTGATTCTATGCAGATCATCAAAAGGAACTATGGGTCTATCTCGTTTCCTTTTGCCTGTTACAAACAAATGCACAAAGACATAATACCCTGACCACCTTGTGGTGTAGGGTATAAATATAAAAATATATATCGGAACCGAGTTCCACAAAATGAATAAGAACGTCCCGAAATTCACTCCATTTGGTTTGATATTAGCCATTATTTGCACAATAAACTTAAAATTGGAATATCGGAGCTATATCCAAATCTTAGCCGATCTCGATAAAATTTGGCAAAGGTATCATGTAGTCGAATGCATATAACGAATGTGGAGGGCTTAAGCAACAAATCGGATGACACATATGTATATGAGCTATAGCTATATCGGAACCGATTTTCTCCGAATTCAATGTACTTGCATCTAGACTGAATTCCGTCGGATGTGCAATAATTCAGTCCATTTGGGATGACATTAGCCATTTGGTGCACATTTAACCCGAAATCGTTTGAAGGTATATATGGGAGCCATATCCACATCTCAACCGATCTGTATAAATTTTAACGGATATATTTTTAAACAGTAACTGATGTCCGGTACCAAATATCATTCTTTTGGAGTGCATACTACGCAAGTGAGCGACTTAAAACCCCAAATCCGATGAAACATATATATGGGAGCTATAGCTATATCTGAACCGATTTTCATTAAATTTAATGTACTTGCTTATAGACGTAGGATGTACCAAAATTCAGGTCACTTGCAATTCTATTGGCCATTTGATGCCCAATTAAGCCGAAATCGGTTGAAGATATAAATGGGAGCCATATCCAAATCTGAACTGATCTTGAGAAATTTTGATACACTTATTTCAGAGCTGTATCTGATATCTGCTACCAAATATCATTCTACTGGAGTGCATATTACGCATGTGGGCGACTTAAAACCCCAAATCGGATGAAACATATACATGGGAGCTATAGCTATATCTGAACCTATTTTCAAATTTGATTTACTTGCTTCTAGACTGAATTCGTTGGGATCTACCAAAATACAGGTCATTTGGACTTACATTAGCCATTTAATGCACAATTCACCTGAAATCGGTTGAAAATATATGTGGGAGCTATATGTAAATCTGGTCCGCATCACCAATTTCAATAGGTCTCGTCCTTGGGCCGAGCAAATATTGTTTGGAAATTTTCAACTCAATCGGATTGTAAATGCGACCTGCATTTTGTTCACAAGAATGCATGGACGGACGGACTGACATGCAAAAATTGACTCAGAAAATGTTTCTATGAAGTGGTTCCATCTTCAGTGCATATCTTGTAGAAATAATGGGACGTGTTAAATATGAAGAGAACAGGATGCTTATTTCGTATTTTATAATCGTTTTGGCTATTCAAAACTTTGACCATTTGTGGGGGAGGTACCAGAAGGAATGATCTGATCTCTACCACTTTTATAACAGATCTTGTGTTGATAGAAATATGGAGATGTGCCAAGTCTGAATTGAAACGGATTTTAATTTCGCGTTTTATGAGCCTCATGGGTATTTAAAATTTTGACCCTTTGTGGGGCAGGTCCCAGAAGGAGTGGACCGATATATTTCATCTTAGCACCAGATCTTGAGTTTATAAAAATATTGGAATATGTGAAGTTTTAAAACAAATGGATTCTTACATCACATTTTATAAGAGTTATAATTATTCAAAATTTTGACCCTTTGTGGGGGAAGCACTTGATGGAGTGGACC